GTCTTTTCATAGAACATTTCATTGACTCCTGCTCCTCTTAGAATTCTTTCCTTCTTGTTGAGTTTAGACAGTCTGGTGACTATATGTGTTTAGTCACGTATTTATCACAAGACAACACTTTACAAGTTTGTCTGGTAATAAATCTCCCAGCAATTCCTTGAGTTTCTTGTATCTGAATATCTAAATCTCTAGCAAGACCAAGGCAGTTTTCCTCTGTTACTCCCTCGAATATGTTTTCTAAACTTTTTGCTTTTTCTTCTTCCCCCTCATTAATACCTATGACTTATAGACTTGGATACTTTACTTAACCCCATATTTTTAGAAAGCTTTGTTCATTTTTTTAATTCTTTTTTATCTTTTGTCTAACTGCGTTAATTCTGAAGACTTGTCTTCAAGCTCTGAAATTCTTCTGTTTGATCTAGTTTGTTGTTAAAACTTTCTACCATCTTTTGTAATTTCCATTTTTTTAGTTTCAGGTTAATATGAGGGTACATACAATTAGGTTACATTATTTGTGTTTGTAAGATAAAATTCAAAGTCCAAGTTGTAGTTAAGTGTGCCATATATGCCTATATTGTACTCAAATTATTTTTTTTATTTACAAAAGCTCTGTTTGTTTGGTTCTATTTGTTTGTTTCTTTAGAACAAAGTGCTTTTGATATCTGGCTTGCTGCCCTCCCAGCTATAACATTTTAGCTGCCAGGGACATTAGATTGCATTTATTTTCCTGATGGTGGTGTTTGGGTTTTCTTTAAATATCTGTCTCTTTAGAAAAATTTTCACTCATAGAGGGAGGGTAGAAAAATTGGTGTCGCATAAAAACTTACCTATTGGGTACAATGAACCCTATTCTGGTGATATGCACACCAAAATCCCTGACTTTAACATTATACAAGATATCTACACTAAAAAAAGAAAACTTTCTAGACTCTTAAGTAATATTTTGAAATTAAAAAAAAATTTTAAGTATGGTTTTTAAAAAGAAAAGAAATTTTTCATTCATGTCCTGAATTGCTTTTCTTATTTCTTTGTGTTGACTTTCAATGTTCTCTTGGATTTCACTGAGCTTCTCTATAATCAGTATTTTGCATTCTTTATTTGATATTTCCAAGATTTCATCTTCATTTGGATCCATAGCTAAAAAGTTAGGATGATCCTTTGGGGGTGTTGTAAAACTAATTTTTCATATTATCAAAATTATTTCTCTGGTTTCTTTTCATCCAGCTAGACTGTCTTTCTTCTTATTTTAGAATTTTCAATTGGATGGGGTTTTTTCCCACCTTCAGGATGTGACCAAAATGTATATAGTATATGATCACCTGGCCTTTGTTCCATGTACTTTCAGTGACAAAGACTCTGTATGAGTTCCTTTGTTAGCAATGTACTGGGAATATGAGCAGCTCAATGTCTCCTGCAGAGCCAGAATATGAAACAAAGTCTCAGGAACATTTATTTACCTCATTTCTCAGTTCTGTGTACTTTTTTTGTCAGTATGTTTTTCACTGGGTTGTGCAGTTCAGGCTCTAAGCCAGTAGGTGGTGGCATGAATCAGAACTGGCTGTGGCAGAAGCAGATGGGGGTATGCAATAACCCAGTGGTGGGCACAAGCTCCAGCCTTGATGGGGGCTGCAGGATGAGATCCCAAGAAATGCATCAAGGTTTCTATAGGAGGAAGAGAGGACAGCTGCCCCAGCTCCACTACCAGGCTGGCAGAAATGTGATCTGCCTCCCTGTCATGCTCCTGTCCCCATGCTCAGGATATTCAAATCAGGTAGACACCATTGTCCATCTGCAGGAACACTGCTGTTCCATGTGGACAGGGGGAAGGGTCCAACCCCTTGCTCAAGCTTGGACCAGAGGGCACACCTCATGTAGGTATGGAGTCACCACTAAACAATCCTAAACAGCTGTCCATAGGCAATACTTGTGCTGACCTACCATAGGAACAGTACCTGCTGTGTCCATAGCAGTGAGGGGAAAGAAGAAATCCTCCTCACCATGTCTCTACATGAGCCCTGGGGCTGCCGGACCCCTGCAGTGGAACCACAGTTTTCCCCACAGAGCCCAGCACAGTACCCACATCTCTGCAGAAAACAGCACAGTCATCTCTGTCCACAAGTGGGGAACTCTAGGACACAGAAAAGCCCATGTTCCTGGTTTCCTTAGTTCTAAGGGGTGTTCCCTTGGTGCAGTACACTCCCTTCCATGAGGACTGGCAATGCCTGAGGATAGACCACTTGGGAACCCTGCTGCACTGCTGGGACTGGCCACCCTGGGTGGCTACTGCAATGTAAGTAAGCAGATGCTAGAGAATGTGTGCAGGTCATCCAGTAACGTGAAGATGCAAGGAGGAAGGTCCCTGGGCAGTGCAAATTTCCACAAAGCATCAATTATGGCACCTGCCACCATAATTTGCATCAGGGGGTGGGGGGGCACGCAACGCAGCCCTGTGTGAGCTGGTAGCCCAGTGTCATGCCCTCATGTTCCCAAGTCACAGCCCACTCCAGTACATGGTCTCATGAGAGCAGAGCAGCTCTTTTTAAGTTCAGAAGCCAGCAGGGTAAGGGGAGCTGAAAACTATCCCCACCTACCCTTTCCATGGAATATTAAGTGCCTTTGGGATTCAATCTCAGCCAGCTTCTTCCTTCTCTCTTTTTTGTGCATCGTCATAGCTTCTCTCTAGGAGCTCTCCAATAAGGCTCCAGCACGCTTCCCTGAACTCTCCAATTCAGCGCTAAAAGTCTCCAGTCAGCTATCTGAGAAGGGGAGAAAAAACCCTAGACAAACCAATAACTTTAGCCTTCTTATAGGACAAATAGGTAACTGAACAAAATAACAAGCTAATAGGTTAAATTGTTTCAATAATAAACATTCTCAGAGCAAATGACATTATTCCACTTGAGAAATAAGGCAGCTATAAAAATCAATCATAAAAATGAAGCTGTTCACATTGGGGGATGTGTGTTGCCTTATAGTAACACAAGGCTTTTCTTGTGCAAGACGTTTCTAGACTACGTGGTGTTGGAGGAAGGATTCCAGAGGTGGCTCCAATGATGGCTCCAGGGATGGCAGGAGCAGGCTTTCAGAATGTGCCAGTGAAGGAGACAGTCAGGAAGTATTTCCCTGAGACCTGGATCTGGGACTTGGTGGAACTTGAGTAAGTTGTATAATGTGTTCTGGGGAATTTAGTCTGTGAGAGGATTTGAATCTCCTCTATAATTCTAATGTCTTCCTGGATTTCTAATCCTTTCAGTTCTGCCCCACTCTTTTCTGATAAATATTTAGGTTTGCAGTTTATTTATCTTATAGCTAAGCAATGCCTTTTTTTTTCTAATTTGGTTCTTAGAGAACTAAAGTAATAAAAAGCAGAGGTTACAATCCCTTTAAATAAAAGGAAGGGAAGGGAGAAATGAAAAAAGGAAGGAGGGAGGGAGGAAAGAAAGGAAGGAAGGAAGGAAGGACTTCTAAAAGACAGCACTAGGAGCACCAAACTTTAGGTCAAGTTTAGCATTTATTGCACTAAGTTGCTGAATTATTGTGTCTTAAAATCAGCTATGGTTTATTCTAAAAAAGGGATTTGTTCACATACTTCTTCTGTGTTCCTTCCCTAGCTTATCAGGTGGAAAAGAGTTAGAGATGAAGGTTCCTGACACCATCACGGAGTGGAAAGCCAGCGCGTTCTGTTTGTCTGAAACTACGGGTCTCGGCCTTTCCCCTGTCATCCCTTTTCAAGTCTTCCAGCCCTTCTTCCTAGAGCTCTCACTCCCATATTCTGTGGTGCGAGGGGAAGCCTTCACACTCAAAGCCACTGTGTCCAACTACTTGTCCCACTGCATTCGGGTAAGAGTGCTACTCTGGAAGTGAAAGCAGAAGGAAGGACTATAGTCACCATGCTTTTCCTAGGTCCCTAGGTAACGCAGTAAATCATAACTGAATATGGTCTATATTAATTTGGAGACAGAACAGGTACTCAGAGCAAAGCTACCTGATAGGTCGAACGTGGTAAAGTTATGTCCATCCAGATCTCTATATCTTTGTATTCCTAAATTCACACATTATATCCACTTTATTCACTTTTTCACTCTGAAAAAACATCTCATCCTTGTGTTGGCATTAGGCAAAATCCCAAGCATTTATCCCAATTTCTGTCTGTTTTTCAATTCCCTTATTGCAAACCATAAAATACAAGGCATTTGGTAGGATTTACCTTGTGTCCCCTACCCTGTGCCCATGTCCCTTCACAAACTTGTGGTTGCTGTGGGGGCAGGTCAATGTGCAGCTGGAAACCTCATCTGCCTTCCTGGCGGTCCCAGTAGAGAAAAATGAAGAATCTCACTGTGTCTGTGGAAATGGGAGAAAAACCTTGTCCTGGGCTGTGACTCCAAAATCATTGGGTGAGTGATAATGCTGTTAACAAATTCTATGTCATGTGTCGTGTTGATTTGCTTTTCACTCTGACCCCAACACATGCTTTTTCTCTTCCTTTAACACTAATCAAGAAAAAAAAAATACCATTAAATAGACTGGGAAATTTAAAAAGTAGAAACTATGTATACAGAATCACTATTTAACTCTTTAAGAGACTTATTCCCCAGGTAAAGTGAATTTCACAGCTACTGCAGAAGCAGTGCCATCTCAAGAATTGTGCAATAATGAGGTGCCTGAAGTCCCAACATTCGGACAGAAGGATACTATAGTAAAGCCTTTACTAGTTGAGGTATGTGGCTATACCCTCTCCGTCTCAGAGGGCTTATTATATAATATAGCATCATCTAATACATATATATGTGACAGTGACATTTCATTCCCCAAAGTATGAATGTATCACCAACTCAATTATTTGCTGTTTTCTTTTCTACTTTGAAGTGACTGATTTTTTTTATATGCATTCAGCATTGCTTTACTTTTTTATTTTTCTTTCTTCTGTCAATACAAAGCCTGAAGGAATAGAAAAGGAGGAAACTTTCAACACAATGCTCTGTGCATCAGGTAAGTGTAAAAAACAGATAAAATTTTCATGTCACACCACTTGCCAAAGTATAGTCCGTAGTTGTGGAATGTCCTTTGGAGCCTGCTTTCCTCTGAAAAAAAAAAAGAAAACATAAATTAAAATAACTCTTACCCTCTCCCATGTGCAAAGCTAAAAACATTTAAGGAAAAACATTTTCCTGATGGAAATTATTTGAAATTAGGTTTAATTTTCTTAGAAGAATAAATGAAAAATACAATTGAAAGTGCTATTACTACCATATTTTAAGAATAAAGGAACAGACATATATTAAAAGACTTGCCTAAAAGCTCTTAGCTAATTATGAGGACTCAAGCTATTGAC